CAAACCCCTCCCCCACACACTACCCCCACCCTCCACCCTAAATAAAAATATTATTAAGAATATTTACTTTTTATGTTGTAGATAACGTACTTTCTTTTTCATTTCAACAAAATGAGTATTTTTTTTCATGATGCAAAAAAACGTATTTTCTTTCATTTCAACAAAATGATATAGTAAAAAGTATTTTCTTTCATTTCAACAAAAAGTACTTTATTTTCATGATGTAGAATAAGTATTTCTTTTTATTTTAATAAAATGATGTAGTAAAAAGTATTTTTTTTTTCATTTCAACAAATGAGTAGTTTCTTTTCATGTTATAGAAAGAGTACTTTTTTTTTAAAAAAAGAAGAAGGAGTATTTCCTTTTTAGTTATGGAGTACAAATTACGTTATTTTTGCGTGAAAAAAGTAAAGCAACACATTAGTTCCTTTGAGTTTGTGTGAATTTTTAAAAGAATAATTAAATTCTTGAAGAAAATAAGATTCTGAAAACGTTGGGTATTTGGGTTGGGGGTGGGGAAAGCACAGGGAACATGGGGATTTGGGGGAAAAGGGGTGAGGAGAGTAGCACAAAAATTATTTTTCTAACAAAAATTTTTACTCTCTAACCAAACACTAAAAAATATTTTCCGGCAAAAGTTTTTCATTCACCAACCAAACAAGAGAAAATAAGTGATAAAACCACTTATTTTCCAAGAAAACATTTTCAAGAAAAATATTTTCCTTCATACCAAACATGCTCTCAATCTTCATATTTCTATAGATAAAATAGAACTTTAATTATTAATTTTATAAAGATTTTAAGGGTCAAAAGTGCTAATTAGGGGATTCGACATATGATTTGCGTAAAAAATTGTTAGGCGAGCCCAAGCATTGAGCATTAGGCGTATTTCGGGTCAGAGACGGATCCAGAATTTGGAGGTTCCGGGTGCCAAGCTAATCGATTTGATCAACTCGGGCGTCAGTTCGGGTTATTCATCTTTTTTATTTATATAGACAAACGATCAAACGAAAAAGTATAATAACTATAACTAATTGACGCAACCATAAAACTTCCAATAATAATATTAATATTATAAATATACATCATCTATTACAATTGTCCTCGACGAGTTTTCAGATTTTGAAAACGATCCATAATGACATAATTACTTACATTTGTGAATACATCACGCTCTATGTAACAAACTAAACAATCATTTAAATATTGGTCACCCATGTTATTCCATTCTTCATTCTTTATCTGCTTCATGGATGAGAATGCTCTCTCCACAATTGCGGTAGCAACATGTAAAATCAGAGTCAATTTCACAAGTAAATAAACATACGAATAAGTCTCTACAAGATTTGCCTCAACCAATGCTTTTGCCAAATCACTAATTCCTTGTAAGTTGGAGAACTTGGGATTACCAGCTCGCATATGAATTATAAAAGTATCAAGTTGATAACTCAAGTCTCGAATCTGTACCTCATCAAACTCATTTGGATAACATTTTGCTAAAGTCATTATTCTACCTTTATCAAAATTAGCAAAAGAATTGGTTGGATTCAAGCTAGCCATCCCGAGAAGCAAATCACTACTCACTATAATAAAACGGTAATTAAACTCTTAAAGTTGCACATCAATTACAACATAAAATATATCAATACGCAAGTAGTGTGAATAACAAACACCGAAAGACTTGCGCTTCGACTTTCCAAAAAAATAAGATTCATCCATCTTGGGAATCAAAATGTCATGCATAACACAAAATGAGGAAACATCATCTAGTAAAGATTCTTATCCACTTTATCTCATTTCTTGTAATCTTTTCTTTGTGATGTTAAGAAACTCCATGGCATTAACAATATCTTGATCCCTCTTTTGTAGGATCTTGTTCAACTCATTTGACATTGCCAAAACTTTCAACATCAAGTGAAGCATAAAAACAAATTTGAATATTGTTATCTCACTCAAAAGATATATATTTTGCTTGATTTCTCTCATTTGAGGTAGAACCTTCATATTTAATCACTTCAAACACACGAACAATAGATGAGAAAATAATAATAAAGTTATCTAATATTTTGAAATGTGATCTCCAATGAGTGTCGCCTGGTCTTTGAAGCCCGCGTGCTTGATTTAGTCCTCGCCCAGTATGAACTTCACCGGACTCAAGTAATTGCTCCAACTTTTCATCTTGAAGAAGTCGAAGCAAATCTCTGCGCTTAAAAGATCTTCCAATGACATTCAATACGTTAGTAACATGACAAAAGAAGACTTTAACATCCAAATGCTTTTTAGCAATAGCTACAAGTGTTAATTGCAATTGATGCGCAAAGCAATGAATGTAATATGCCGATGAATTATCTTTCATAATTTAAGTCTTGAAATCACTTATCTCCCCCCTCATGTTACTAGCTCCATCATAACCTTGTCCACGTATTTGTGATGGACTTAGTGAGTGCTCCGAAAGCAAAGAGTAGATTGCTTCCTTCAATGAGCATGCCAATGTATCACTAACATGGACAAGACCAACAAATCGCTCTGCTACTTCACTATTCTTATCAACATAACGCAAAACAAGAGCCATATGTTCTTTGTGTGAGATATCTTTGGACTCATCAACTAATATACCAAAGTAATCTCCATTCAAGTCTCCAATAATAGCCTTTATTGTTTCTTTTGTACAAATATTGATAATATCCTTTTGGATCATAGGGCAAGTCAAAGCATCATTTTGTGGAGCATTTTTTAATATGACTTTTCCCACATCCGGATGCTTGTCCCCATGCCATCGTAAGAATCCAAGAAATAAGCCTTAATTAGTTAAAGTTTCACTTTCATCATGACCCCTAAAAGGAAATCCATACAATAATAAAAGTCTTGCCACATCAATTGATGCTTCTAAACGCACCTGATACTCACTTTTTAACTTATCAGAGTGCTTATCAAAAACAACTTGAATGGATTGATGATGATTTGATAAGTCTAGCATCTTCTTTAAACATTTATCATGGACACTATTAACATCACCAATATGTAAACAAAATCTTTTAAGACCCTTATTCCAAGCCCTAAAACTATTCTTTGTATAAAATTCCCCCGCTCTTCCATGAATAAATTTATTTTTGAACAAATAATAACATAAGCCGTGTGCCGCATCTTTCTTCACACGATACTCCAACCATTTAGAAAATTGGCCCTTGAACCAACTTGGAACAAATTGACGCATTCTTCCTCCTATTTGAGTTTTTGGAAATTAATGCTTGAAAGGTTGGCAAGGACCTTGTTGAATGTAATGTTTCCTTACTTCATCTCGTATTCGAGGGCGATAGTCCGCGATAGGTATTCTTTCTCCTGGATCGCCTTTAAGTGACCCCAAATTGAGTTCATTTATAAGATGGGAAACATTGGTATTCGCTTGGCTCAGGGATTGACAACTAGGACTTGGTTGAGAATGGTCCAACCTCGTGACAAATTTATCCATCTGAATTCAATTCCTATCAAATAAAAGCTCATTCTAGTGAGAAAGCTTTTTATGTAGCTCACTATAGAATATCGAATAATTTCTACTACTTCATACCATCAATAAGCTTAGCCAATGAAAATTATTCAACTATACCTAATTTTTTTTTTTTTTGTTAAAATGAAGTTAGTTTTGAATTTTTCTTGGTAAAAAATATTGGGGATGTTCTTTCTCTTTTAGCCACAAAATTAATTTCTACAATGAAACCATTTAAGTGGCATAGGATTTTCAACAAAACCAAATAAATACATAACAAATAAATCAAAAGTGACAATAAAGTTTTGCAAGAACATTAAAATCTAACTAAATACAAAAAAAAAAAAAAAACAGAGCAAAAATATATATTTAATGGAGAAAAAAATAGCCATAGCCCACATAGGTTTAAGAAATAAATAAGAGAAAGTGAGGAAGCTTTACAATGGTGGTTGTAGAGTAGTGACCAGTGAACACGTGTGCTTTGAAGCAGCAAAAAAAAAGAACTCAAGAGGTAAGTGTGAGAACCGGGTCCGAAAGCCAACAGACTGGACGAACAAAGTGGGGGTTGGGAACTTAGGAATTGGGATTCCTTTTGCTGGAGATGAGGTTGGGGACTTGGGAATTGAGATTCCTTTTGGTGGAAATAATTTTGGGAAAGGGGAAAGTGACAGAAGGCTTTTAGCTTTCTAGGAATATTATTTTAATTGTAAAGTTTTTTATTATTATTTTATCTTATTATTAAAATTCAAATATTTAAAATAGAAAGTGTGTTGTGTTAGTGTACTAATTGTAACCTAATGAAGCCAAAATATTAATTGCTCACGGCTGTATTCGAACTCACAACCAGCAGAAGGAAAAGATGGACATTTGCCACTGGCACCTTGGCCACTTTTGTTCTGTGGGTGGCACTTTAATTATATATA